AAAAAAAAAAAAAAAAAAAAAAAAAAAAGAAAGAAAAAAAATGGAAATCATATGGTAATCACGCGATGTCTCGTGATGTCTCACGTATTCGCCTATTTACGGTACCTGACGGTCGTATACATCGACGAGCTTCAAAATCGGATAGGATTTGACCAACCGGGAAAAATAAGTCTGCCTTTGCAAGAACATCCTCGCCAACGTAATCCATTGGCCGGTGTGTACAAGATTTGGTTAACTCCTCGCGGAGGATGGAAAATATCGACGATAAGGTAAATAACTCGGGACGCGAGACACGTCTCCCTTGTAAACGAGAGACGAAAATCCGTCAGATGTTACATCGCAGTCATATTGAATTCGGTTACGGTTGAATAATCGACTGTCGAATGATCGTTTCACTCGCAACGTTCCACGATTCATTCCTATATTCGTTTCATGTGCCTCTTCCCCCTTTCTTCGGGGAAGCGGGATTTTGATCTATTGAAATTTGTTATTGAAAGTTTTGAAAGTTTGTAATTTCGTTCGTTTAATGAGATAATTCCTTTTGATCTCAGAAAATCAGTATAATTTGAAAAAATGATTATTAAGAGAGATTTATTAATACTGATAATTCGTATAATATCGAGAATATTATTTTACTGAAAGCACGATACAATTGAAATTATAAAGTAACGAAGAATATAGAGAGTGGTGTTATCTTAAAACGTGTAATTATTACCTATTATTGTTTAGCTTATTATTCTTTACGAATATGTTATGATATTAATATCCATTACTTTTCCACTACATGCTATTTCGATATAAAGTATTTCAAGTATTACAACTCTATTTTGAAAGTATAAAATAACTCTTTAAAAGTGTAGCGTGACTCACTCGGTAGTTGATATAGCTTTATATTATATGCGATAGCGTGTACCATCGATGAGTCACGCTATTTTTTTTTCTTTTTTTTTTTATAATTTTTATACCAGTATCAAGATTCGAATTCAATTAGTTCAGAACTACATAGCACGGTATCGATCGTTCGCTATAATTATCGCCATCGAAACAAGGACGCAACGTTAAACTCGAAAAGAGAATTCTCATCGATCGTACAATATTAAGCCAAGCCACAATATTAAATAATTAATTTAATTTTATAAACGTTACGACGATCCTCAAATACTCGATCTTATTTTTTAAATTGATTTCGAAGAAAAGAAATGAGAATTATGTAATATACGGGGTGTGATCGATAATCGTTTATCATTAAATCCCATCCACGATGACTTAATTTCGCGATCAACGCGTTATCGATTCGCGATGTACTGTTATCGATAATAAGCTTGGACGATGGTGAAGGAAATTGAAAAGGAAGAGAAGAAATGGAAAAAAAAATATGATTGAACGATTGTTTAGAAGAAAAAAGGTGTTAATTACGTAACTTTTGATATTTCTTCAAAACACTAAAAACCTTCCATGGAAAAGTTCATTTCGAAAAATTTCTACAACGTACGCTCTTCTTCTAGACCTCCATTCACTTTTCAAACCACCTGGATCTTAAATAATTTTTAGAACGATGCAAGAATTATTTTTATATCTTCAATTATAATAGGAAATTCTATAATCAAAATTTTCAACATTTCTCTCTTTCAATAATTACTTACTTAATAAGTAAATACAAGAGACGCAAAATCTATCAGAATGGATATAATTATGAAAAAAAGTATCATAAAATTATTATTTTAAATTAATTAGATTATTTCGCGAATTATCATTGCATAGACAGGATTCGATAGGACGAGATGATGCGTCGAGCGATTTTATCGCTGCCAGGTCGTAAAGTAATTCGCCATTGATTTACGGAGATGCTAATTGGCCGGTGGCGTCCAAGTGCTTTTAGCGAGTCAGTCTTCGTAATTTCACGGGGATTCGATCTCGAAACCACCGAAATTATCGTCGAATCCCAGGCAACGTTAACGTTACAACTGCTTTCCCATCCAATTTTTATCTTAATTTCGCCCTACGAAAGAATCCTCGAAATACGAGGCGGTATTTAATGGAAAATGGAGGAGGAACGGGATGTGATCAACGGGAATAGATCGTTTAAACGAGGGAAATGTTAATTTTATAATGTACGCGATGGTTGAAAGAAGAAAGAACGTGTATGTAATATCGATAATGAAACGTGTAACTTTGGAGTTGAAAGTTGCGAAACACGTTCATTGATTTATAATATACGCGAGTTTGCGGTTTAATTGGTTTAATTGGTTTGTTCAATGCCGGAACACGATGGTACTTTATTTGATGGAACGAGACCGGTTAACCCTTTCCTTCTCTGAATTATTTAACAGCCGCTGTTACTCTGTCTGCGAAATTTTCATCGCCCCGTCACACGTTAAATAAACGACGTCGCGTAAATATTTTAGATTTATTCCAAGAATGGGATGAAAAGTGTCTGTAATATTAATTATAATTTAATCTTCGAGTATGGTATTATTTCATTTTAACCTCGTAAATTTTCTCTCGTAATTATATCGTTTATATTTTGCCCGGAGAAATTTTGTAATCTGGAATCCAAACCGTAATTCGCGATCCGTCAATCGGACTGCGAAAATACCGCGTGCGCGGAATTAACGCGCGCAATTAAGTCTCACAATCGGCTCGATCAGGAATCAACGGGGAGTTTGGCGCGGGCGAACGAGGCGGGCCAAACAAAACCGTAATTTACCGGGGGAGGGGACAGTGTGACAGTCGTCGAACGAGAGTCGTGAAAAATTCAGTCTCGGTGACGATGTCGCGAACGTAAACAAGAATCGATCATCAAGTATCGATTCCGTTCGCAGATAAATCCGTTTCGAATAAAAATGTTGCGCAATCATGGAGAAAGAGAAGATAAAAAACGAAATAAGAAGAGAAAAAATGAGAATAAGAGAAAAATATATATTTTTGTTTTGAATGAAATTTCGAGCATGTTAAATCTCTTATTTGATATCATTACCAATGGCCCGTATCAATTTGAGAGATAAGAAATTATAAGATGAAGAGAAAGTATTTATTGCATGAAGTATATTTTAAAATACGAAATAATGTAATGAGATAAATCAAACGAATCGAATCTTTAGTTATTATTATTTTAAAACTCTATTAAAATTGGAAAAAATTAAATTCGCTACAACTTTAAAGATAACGATCCCCGATCAATGAATGTACGAGTGTTAGAAACGCGAAACCTTGCCCTTTAAAACATTTTTTCATTTATTCCGATACGATTTTCGGTTCGCGAGATATGAATGTAAAAAGAACAGGTAATTTTTAATGTATTCTAAACTGTAATGAAATCTATTAAAATTAGAAAAACTTTGAATCGCTATAACTCCGAAAATAATAACTTCCGATCAACGAGTAAGGGATCACTAGAAGCACGGAACTTTGCCCTTTAAAACGCTTTTTTATTTACTTCGATACGACTTCCGGTTCTCGAGATATCGTCGTACAAAGAAGAGCGTAATTTTTAATCGTTTACTATTAACTATCCTTGTCGCTTACTTGCACACTCTTCTCCAACTGACCTATCGCAAACTCCAAACAATTGCGATTCCTAGAAAAATATATTACGCATTTCCAGGAAAAGTATAACTAGATAGCGGATCCATTCATAATCTTCACAGCATCTTAAATATGGAAACTTCGAATCCTTATATCTCAGCAACCAATTGAGATATCGGGATGAAACAAAAAGGAGCTTCAATGGCGCAATTTCCTCTATGTTTTGAAAAAATTTTGATGACAAATTTTTTAATTTCTTTTAACGTCTATTTTTCTTTCACGTATATATGAAAATAAAAGTTTCATTTGTGACTTTGCACGAATAGAATGACCTACTATATTATAATACAAATTTACATAATTAAAATTTTTTGTCTTCTCGCATTTTTCATGCGAAAGTTCCAAGTATCGATTTACATTATTCTGAAATATAATGGTATTCCGTTGTGAATACAAAGTACACGAGGGTATAATTTAACGTATCTAACGATCCATTAACGTTTAAACGTTCATCCTCACGAGAGGACGAAGCTCGAATCCCTCCAACCTCTGTACAAACGCGTATGTCCAAACAATCTAGCCCGGGCCACGGTTAAAGCATATTAGAAATTAATCCCCGGGCGATCCTGCCGATCAGCGTCAGCATTCGATTAAATAAACAGGAATTAGCACATGAAAGGCGGCGTCAATCGTCGTCGTCGTCGTCGGAGGTAGAGAGGGAGGACGCCACTTGTCGTTTCCCATCGCGCCTCGCGGGGTTGACTAACTAAATAGTCCAAGTTAGCTCTGAAAATGGGGCCCGGGGCCAGGGTTAAACCAGGCTTAAAAAGCCCCGCGCAAACACGCCGCGAGTCAACTGCGAAAACACTTGAGATCACTTAGAGGAATCACCGTTTCGAACCCTCACGCGCCATTT